CTGGCCCAGCCTGGGGCGCTGGGGTGGGGTCCCCCCCGGGTCCCCCCCGGGCAGGGGCGGTGGGGTGGGGGGAGAGTGGCAGAGCAGGGCTGGGAGCGGCGCTTCCCAGGGGAGACCTGGGACCAGTGGTGGGGGGTGAGCCAGTGGTGGAGGAGGTTTTCTTGCCACAGGATTCACAGCAGAGCTTGTTGTAGCCAGGGATGGAGCAGTAGCGAGCCAGGACCTCCATCTGGCAGAAGATGGACTTGTCCCCGAGGCAAGGCTCCCCTGGAGAGGGACAGAGCAGCGTCAGGCAGCACGAAAGATGGAGATGGCATTAGGCTCCCACCCCTACACCTTTCCAACAGTCCCAAAGCCAACAAGGTGTCCCCCTTGCTGTCCCCAAACCTACTATCGCTCTCTGCCCCAGGGCAGCAATTTTGGTAACGCTTGTACAGGAAGGGGGGGCAAGGGAGTTGGAAAATGAAGCCAGAGCACTCAAGATTTGTGTGCACGGCAGAAAAAAGAGAGAGCAAGGGGTGCTCCAAACCAGCACCTTAAATCAGATCCTGATGCAGCTCGCCCCAGCTATGAAGCGCTCTAAGCAACGCCTTGCTTGGAGCAAAGGGCAAAAGCCAGAAGCCATCTCCCTGCTTGGGTAAACACGGGGGGGCTGAAAAAAGTTCCAGGTGAAAAAGGCATAAAATCCAGGAGGCAAAAGGGAGCGCAACACGGTTGCCTGTCCAAAGGTAGAGGAAACTGTAAGATCCCAGACTCCACAAGATGGCAACCGAGCAGCAGGCTTTGCAAGCAGAGGCATCAGGGATGCAGCAGTGGAGGGTAAAACTCCCCAAAATCAGTGGTGGATGTGCACCCTCCCTTTGAGCCGCCCCCCCTTCCCGCAGGGAGGGGTATCCGGGAAGCGTCACCCTTACCCGAGCAGGGACACTTACTGGAGGAGATCTTGCTAACGGGGTTTTTGGCCCCATCCTGGGGCACCCGCTGCCCTTTGGGCGTGCTGTGGTCACCGGTGTCGGCGCTGGCAGTGATGCCGGATTGCTTCCCTGTGGAGAGAGCACCACGATGCCCAGGGGCCACAGGAGGTTGGGGGCACTCAGAATACCTTAGGAGGATGTTTTGGTGAGGGATTTTTTTGTTTTAAGGGTTCTGCTAAAAAACGAGGTCCCTTGGGGTATTTTGGGTGGCTTAAGTGCTGGGCCAAGATGAACTCCAGGGTGTCCATCCCCATCATACCCTCAGCTCACCACATGCCCTAACTGCCAGAAAACCCAAAACCACCTACAGCAAATATCAGGGCAAAGATAACATTTTGGCTGGCGTTTAACCCTTTCACTTCCAGCAGCATCAGGGACACTCAACCCATCCTTCTTTGCTGGTATCCTCCTGAAGCTGTGATGGGCTGGAAGTCAGTCCCCACTGGCACATGCCCCCCACCCTGAGTGATACCTCCTCCTCCTCCTTCTCTCACCTGGGCAGAGGGCCACGTGGCAGCCCTGGACAGCCTCTGGCTTGTCGCCCTCGCAGCGCCCGCCGCCCTCGCTGCCCTTGCACACCACCTGCCGCTGCTGGACGCCTTCCCCACAGCTGGCCGAGCACTGCGCCCAGACAGACACACAGACAGACAGTCAAGGGTCGGGGGGGAGCCCACACACCCCGACAGCCACCCCGGAGGGGGATCTGCAAGTATTTTACTGCTTTCTAATAAAGGCTTTCTCTCCCTCTCTTCAGCACCCTGCCGCCCCGCTCTCCACCAGGGATGCTATCCTATGCCCTCTCCCATTTTGAGTTTCCCCACAAACCTTGGTGAAAACACCTCTGGCTCTTGTACCCCTCTCTGCATCCCTATGAGACCAGCCCGCTCTATAAGCACCCGGCCTTCACACCCAGCCCCTACACCCCTCCTCCCAACCCCGCCGTGCAGTTGGGGGGCTTTCTCCACCCACCAGCCCCCTCCCCAGCTCACCTCTGACCAGGCTCCCGTCCTCCACTGTGCAGGGCAGGGCAGGCGGCTGCAGGGCCGGCGCGTCTCGGGGCGCTGCCCGGGGCAGTACTTGGTGTGCAGGGTGCGGTTGGTGCCGTCCTGCAGGCGCTGCACACACTGCACCGCCCGCGCCTGCACCCCCAGCTTGCCACAGGACCTGCTGCAGGCACCCCACTCCTCGGCCACCCAGCTGCCAGGGGAGGGGGGTGTGGGGGGAAGATGGACACGGTGAAGGCATTAGAGGTGATGCCCACACAGGGAAGAGGCTGGCGCGCTCCCAGCGCAGCCCCAGATACTCCTGTAGAGGGGATGAGAGCACCCCGGGCTGGCTGGGGGGGGACTTACGCTGGCTGGGAGCACTCCTGGAGGTTACAGCGCCGCCGGATCGGCTTCGGCTTCTTGCTGTTGTCACAGAAGTTTCTGTGCACCATTCGGTTGTCACTTTTCCGCCGGCAGCCGTACTTGGTGTACTGGATGCCTGGTGGGGACAGAGCATAGGCAGTGAGTCAACAGGGGCAGGGGTCTCACCGGCTCCCCACCCAGTCCCTCTCCTGCATCCCTGCCAGGATGGGATGTGTGCTCTCAGATGTGGGACCCAAGCTGCCCGTCACCCAGGCTTGCAGAGGATGCTCATGTGGATGCTGGACCCCCCAGCCTCCTGCGGTCACCCAGGCTGTGGGGCGCACACACAGAGAGGGACAAAGCAGACTCAGTCTCCCCTCCCATCCCTCCTCAAGCTGCTCTCCCAAAGCCCAAAGTCGAGACATGAGAGTTTCCTGGTGGTGACACAGCCACAAGCACTTAGCAAGCTACAGATTTGGCTTTATTTCTCTAGATGGGGGTAAAAAAAAAGCAGCACATCACAAGCCCAGTCAAAGCACTGCTGTAATTTGCCAAATAAGCTGTGCTTGCTTGAGAGTAGACCAGACTGGGGCTAAGCCAGCCTTAGCCATGAGCTGCCTGCTGCGCTGCCCAGAGCCCTGCTGCAGCAAGGGCTGCAGAGCCAGCAAGAGCTCACTTTCCAGCTCTGCAAGTCCCAAAATCTTCCAGCTGCAAGGTGGAAGTGTGAGGTCTTCTCCATTACTGGAGAGTCAGGCAGGTTGGAAGTGACCTCTGGAGGTCTCTGTACCACCCTCTGCTCAGAGCAGATCCCACTGGCCATAACAGGGCAAGGCTTTCCTCAGCAAAGCCCCCCGTGCCAGCATGTGGGCACAAACGCTTCCTCCCAGAGGGAAAAATCCAGCAGTAACTCTGCCAGGAGCTCACGAGTGCTACCTGCCCTCCATCACAGGACCCACTGGTGTGTCCACACCTATTTCCATGCAAGCTTTAGAAGCAGTCATCTGCAAGATCACTACTCCCTGGCTCAAAAACAGACAAGGAATTAAAAAAAAATCAAAGCAGGTTCATGGATAGACAGACAAAGGTACACACACAATCCCATAATCCTGTTGTCATAGGAAATCTGGCTAAAATGCTCACCTAAACTGCTCCTCAGTTATGGTTTTTAACACTCATATTCCCATGTGGTAGAACCCCCAAATTATAGAGGTGCAAAGAACATGGGTATGGAGAAGAAAGCCAGGCCTCAAAACAGTACCAGGTCTAGGTCTAAAGTCTAGCAATGTGTGATCTTGGGGAAAAACACTCTAAAACAGCACCTGCCCGTTCCCAAGCCAGAGATGCCCCAAAGGGCTCACGCACTGCCTAACGTACCCAAGCATCCTCCCAAGCCCACGCTGTAGGCTGCTACAAAGGGAAAGCTACCTCCTCCACACGCCTTGGAGCACTGAGACCAGCTCTTGAGGGCCCACTCATAGGAATCCATCTCCTCAAGCAGGACGTTGTTGTTTCCGATCATGGGCAGCAGATCTTCGTGGATGATGTACCGGTACATCAGGCTGCTCCTCGCCTCCTCCTCCTGCGGGATGACCTGCAGGCAGAGAAAGGACAATTGGAGAGGGGGAAGGAGAGGAAGGAACAATGCCATGGAAGAAGGAAGGGAAGAGGAGGCCATCAAAGAAAAAAGAAGTGAACAATGACTGGGTGCTACGGTACACACAAGAGTAGGAGAAACAAACTAGCTCCAACGTGATTAGGTGGGCTCTGAACACAAAGTCTACCCTTCATGAATGTACCTCTCCAGTTCCAGACAAAAATGCTGCCCAAATCTCCCAACTCCAGCCTTAGGCTGGGTGTCCTCGGACTCTCCTTTGACCTGCAGGATCACAGTCTACACCCCAAGCCAGCGCCGGCCATGGGGATGGATGGGAGCACAGACCTCCCCTTCCCTGGGTGCCCAGGAAACCCAATCCCTAACTCCTTCCAATAGCAGTATAACTAAAATGAGACACAGAGTCATGAGCAATTGCTGCACAGAGCAAAATGCAGTTGGATTCAAAGGCAAGCACCCGTGCAATGCATCCTTATGCCGTTCTTGCATACAACTCACTAACCCTTGCTTTTGGCTAGCTCATTTTCCTGGTTTTAATGACATGCCCTACGACCTTTCTCTGCCAAAGTCCTTCCATCACCTCCTACATCCCATCTGAGACCACCTTCCCTCTCTGTACCGCTGGGTGATGGGTGTCCCCAGCACCCCCAGAGCCAGGTCAGCCAGGCTTACCAAAACACTGATGGCCTCATGCAGAGGACCGCTGGTTTTCAGGCTCTCCTTGCCATGTTCAATGGTGTATTCCCACTCCAAGCCCATCTCAATGAACACTTGGCTTTTGGCTTCTTTACCCTTGGCGTTAAGGATGAAGTTGCCCGTGGCTTGATTCTTAACAGCTGGAGGAGAAAGGAGGCATTTCAATGTCATTTCCTCTGGTCACTGCCTTTGAAGGGCTGGAATGACCCAGAGAAGACCCTTTGGGTGGGAATTCTCAAAATATGGCTGAGAAAAGGGTAGTGGGTGAAAGGAGAGGCAAACTACAGCATACTCACCGATGCTGTGGGATGCGGGCTCCATCTCTTCGATCTGAAGGTGCCTTGCCCCAGCTGGAATCTCAAACATCTTCAAAACACCCACTGGAAGGAAGGATGGAGGGAAGAAAAAGAGCAGGTTTGCCCCAACCAGACACATACCCGCTCCCAGCCACGTGTGAAGCCAGCTGACCCTGATGGAATCCGCTCCCCAACCCACCCAGCCCACTCACCCAGCTGCTTGGGGGTCTTGGCCAGCGTGCCCTTCACCGTCCGGCAGTGGGAGTTGTCCCCCCCGCAGACCCCGCACTTGTCATCCTGCTTCAGGGAGCCGACCTCCTTGTCACAGCCAACGTGCTGTCACCCGTGGGGAAGAGAAGACAAGCATGGGGTTACATCCCTGCAGCCCACCCCATCGCTTCGCCGTTCCCATAGCACTTTACTGCACACAGGGTCAGTCCCCAGGCTAGAACGTGTGTCCCCGGGGCATCGTGGGTCAAGGGGATGCACAGGTTCTCTCCTGGGCAGGCAAAGGACAGGGACAATTGTGCAGCAGCCATCAGCTCCTCACCACGCACTCGCCCCGGACACAGATGCTGTAGGGGTCTCGGTAGCTGCACCGGGTACCGTCGTGAACGACCTGATTCATGAACACCACATCCCCCGTCCCCTCGGACCGGCAGATCAGCTCACACTTCTGAGCATCTGCAGCAAAATAAGAAGTAAAGGGGAAAAAGAGGAGGGGGAAAGGGGGTTTGTGGGAATATATTAGATTGATTGAAGACAAACCCAACTCAGCTGTCGTACGCCTGAGCACAGTCAGATTTCCAAAGCCCAGGCTGCTCATGTGCCTTACTCTGCCACATCCATTTGCTGCTCAAGAGCCTGCACCTTTGCCCAGCTCGCTCGGGAAATTCAGAGCCTGGACGGGGCACACTACGTAACATCCCAGTGCCAGACACTTGGCTGCATGCACAAGGAATACCATGCCAGGCAGGCGGACCTGGCTCCCATCCCAGCCCGGAGCAACACGCTCCCCACTGCGGCTCCGGGAGCGAGCAGGCGGCACCATCACCCCACCACCACCTCCATGGAAAACAAGTCCTCTGCGCGCCAAAGCACACAGAAAGTGGAGATAAGACTTTTAAAGTAGCTCAGTCAGAATTATCTCTGGCTACCATTACAAGAGGTTCTCCCTGCAGGAGGAGCAGGGAGAAGTTCCAACACGGGCTGATCTCAGCCCACCCCTGCTGCGCTTTGAGACAGCGGGAACCAGAGCAACGTCTGGGTTTCTCTACATGACACCTGAGGGCAAACACAAGAAATTGATTTTAAAGATCTGGCTGCTTGATGCTGGATTATAACAGTCTAGTTTCCAGCCCAGGAGCTTTCCAGAACCCAACAGCTGTGCAGCTGGCAGAGTCTCCATCCCACAGTGATGGCCACCAGCGCGGCCTCCTCTGGGACGGAAGGCAATCTGGCTACTGCTGCTTCGCTAGGACCCACTGCCGCTCACCGTCGTGATGCTCGTAGGGAAGCCAGGCGTGCTTGCTGTTCTGGTGGGTGTAGTAGGAGTTGCGCTTGGAGCACTGCTGGGCACGGAAATCCTGGTAGGGCCCCGGGCACTCCTCGGCATTGCACACTTGGTACTCGTAGGTGGCTCCCGGGCAGTGGCGCCCACCGTACGCCGGGCTGGAAAATAAAGTAGATGGGTTAAAAGAGCGTTGCGGGAGGGGATGCTGTTCAGCACCCACATGCACGGCACAGCTCATGGAGGAGCAACATCCCATCCCTGCCGACCGGGCACACAAGGGGAAGAGAGAGGAACCTTGGGCTCTCTGTCACTTCCAGTTTCACCCCGCTAAAAGGAGGGAGGTGGAGGCCAAACGTACGGCGGGTTGTCACAGTTGCGGCTGCGGGAGCGCACGCCTCCCCCGCAGGTCCTGGAGCACGAGCCGAACTTGGACCAGGAGCTCCAGCTGCCGTCCTGGCTGTAAGGCTGCTCAGATGTCTTCCAGATGCAGTGACCCTTGAAGCACCACTGGAAGGGAGGAGGAAGAGGGGTGAACTCAACGCCTGCCTCTTCCAAAGCACTCGGCACCAGCAAAGAGAGCCCTCCTGCCCCCACAGCACTGCAGAAACAGCTCCAAGGAGGAAGGTGCTCTTCATCACACCCTCAGGCACATCCCTCCCATGGGAAGCAGGACCAAGAGTGTTCCCCAGACATGCAACAGTGTCACTGATATTAATTTGAGCTGATTTTAATGATTTTTGGTGATTTGGTTTTTAAGTAAGGAATGGTTTAGAGGAACCATATAACCAGCTGCTACATCAGCCATGAGCTTTTCCAACATATACATGCAGAAGCAAGCAGACCAGAAGAAAACCAAAGTCCTCATCTGAGTACAAAGTAGGGAAAATAAGGAGTAATGACAGCTAAAAACCAGGCACCCACCAACTGCTGCCCTTGAGGGTGTCCCTGTCCCCTCCCAAGGAGGGAGCAGGCAAGACCAGCCCCTACCTTGCCCGGAGAGCACTCGGTCCCATCCAAGGGTGGCCCCTTCTTGGTCTTGCAGAAGTAGGGGTTGTCCGGGTGGCTGCACCACAGCTGCTTGCAGGGGTCAAAGGTGCGGAACTGGGGAGCACAGAGGAGCTGGGCTGGGACAGCAGCGGGGAGTCCCGGCAGGCTCACAGCACCCCTCCTGGCACCTGGCTGGGGGTCCCAGGGGTGGCGGGCAATGCAGTCATGCAACCTGTACTCACCGCCGTGCACGTTTTGTAGCCCACACCGAAGTCGAAGCGGCACTGCTCGTCCATGGAGTAGTTAATGCCCGGCAGCTCGGGTAACGTGGGCCACTGGTGCTCAAAGGGGTCATCCAGGAGGCAGTCATAGGAGCTGCAGAGATGCCGGGCAGAGGCAAAGCAGAGTCAGGTATAGAGGATTTCCCTCCTTCACCCCATCCCTCACCTTCAGCCCTCTCTCCAAATTCAGATATCAAGAAATGAATTATCTTGCAGTGGTGGAGTCCCCATCCCTGGAGGGGTTGGAGAGTCGGGTTGACCCAGCACTGAGGGATCTGGGGGAGTTGGCAATGGTCAGGGTGAGGTTCATGGTTGGACTGGAGGAGCGTCAAGGGCCTTTCCAACCTAGGTGATTCTGTGATGCTAACTACACAATGCTGGAAAACATGTTTCCAGCAAAGAGCAGCTATGCAGCGTTCCCCAAAGACAAGCATCCCACCACTGCCTGCAGCTCCCTCAGGGATGGAGCACCTTGCTGCTAGTGGGTGCTCCTGCCACTCTTCTTGGCCCCAACACACAGAAAGCCCCTGGCCTGTTTCTAAAACTTTTTTTTTTTTTTTATGCAGCACAAAACATTTTGTAGCCTAAAGGGGAAACCACATAGGCTGCCCAAAGCAAATGGCAGAAATATTTGAGATCTGGATCTGCAGTCTACCAGCACAGAGCTTCTGCGAACTATTGGTATCTCCAACTTTTAACAGGCTCCTATTTGCCTCCAGGCTCTGCAGCCCCAAACCTGTTCAGCCTCATGCAAGGAACCAAAGCTGTTAGTAGAAGAAAAAGGGAAAATAACTTCCCCAGGACCCGTTTTTGCTATTCTGGCCAAAACAGGGTACGGCAATGGGGACCTGCCCACTGCCTGCTTTACACAGGAGCTGCTGGGTACAAAAGGAAGGCAGCCACGCCGTCCGAAGGGGGAACATCCCTTCCTGCTGAAAACTGACTTACTGAATGTAGCGGTTAAGCTCCTGCTTGCTGCAGCGGGACCAGTGGTAGCGGTGGAAGGCAGCCTGGACCAGCGGCGCCATGATGCTCCCCATGCTGGTCTCATCAGCACAGCGGTTGCCCTGGCCATCGTGCTCCATGCCTAACCTGGTGGGAAAAGCTGGTGTAAAGTCAGGTTCCCGGAGGATTTACACCAGCCCCATTGCATGCCGCGGTGGTACATGTTTCTGCACCAGCAGAAAGTCCCCTTTGCAAAGAAAGGGGCACCACCACGCTTGTCCTCGTGCCAAAGGGGACAACCAGCTCTGCCTCCATGACTTACACGTGGCCAGTCTCGTGGGCGACCACGAATGCCGAGGAGAAGCCATCTTCATGGTTGAGGGTGCAGCTGCGGAGAGGGTGGCACATCCCTGTCACCGGCGCATAGCCTGGAGCAAGACACAAGGGAAGGAGAGAGGAAGAGAGGAGAGAGAAAAACCTTTGAGAGAGGGGGGAAAAAATGAAAAATTAAAAAAACCTGCAAGCCTGGCTTCATTGCAACAGGAGGAGAAAACAAAGAGGAAGGCACTGAAGAGGAGGAGCTGCCCAGGTCACCTGGATGGCAGCCCAAGGACTTGCTCACCAGTACAACCATCCCGGCTGCCAGTGCCAGAAGCAGGTGAGGTTACGCTGAGCCTCGCCAGCATCTCTTTGCCCTTGTGCCAATCCGTCTGGGCCAGTGAGAGGGCAGCAAAGGAACCCATAGGTCCTTTATTGGTGCCAGTGACCACCACGCCCCCAGCCCAGAAACAGCACCCCTGCATTCTTCTTTATTAAAAAGAAAGGGAGCGACTGAAAAGCATGAGGTGTACCCCAGAGCCCCACCAAAACCCAAGCCTTGCTCACTGCAGGTTACGGGGACCCCTGCCATGCACCCGCACATGCACCCACACCAGCCCCAGGCACAGGGGCAACCCCACCAGACAGGGCCGGGGAGGACCATGCACCTCCCCAGCCCCCAGCCCTCGATCAAGTGCAGTGCAGTGGGGCAGCTGTGGGCAGGGAAGCCTCCCCCTGCCCATCCAGCAATACATCATCCTGAGTTTGGTTTATTGTTCATTTCTTTCTCACATTTCTGCCCAATTCAATTAATTCCTTGCCACCTTCTAGAATTTACTTTCTAGATTGTTCTAATGTATATGGTTTTTTTAAGGACCGACCCTTTTTGGCATCAAGGGGAAGGAAGTTAGCACAAAGAAAGGACTTACAGATCCAAGAGGCAAAAGCAGGGCAGGACCATGCTGGATAACGCAGCCCTGGGGATAGGGATGCTGGAAGAGGAAAGCTCAGTGAGGAAGGGGGAGGCTGAGCTGCAGCAGGAGAGGGGTAATGCTGACCTGAGGGTGGATGCACACCCCTAAGCCTGCCCTCCTGCACACACCCTGGCCAAAACACAGGGTCCGTGAAGCCCATGTGCCACCATTTTCGTGGGCCACTTGCTCCACACCAAGCCAGCGACTTGTGACTAATTGCCCTGGAAGACGATGGAGAGGAAATGACGGGATTGCTCTCAGCTTAATTCCCCAGATGAACAAGTGGGTGGGTCTCACCTACACAGCTAGCCAAGGACAATAGATTATAGCAAAAAATAAAAGGTTTCCTACAGCTCTGCCCTAAAGTCAACAGCAGTTGACTCTGTGGGTGCAATGAGCAGATCGGATGCCTGATGGGACAAGGGATGGGCAGCTGCTGCACCGCTGGACACGCAGAAGTCACCATCACCCCAGGCATAAGGCAAAACCAAGGGGGTTTGGGGCGAGCATTTCCCTTGATATTTCTATTTATCAGCTGAGCGGAGATTTTCCAGGGTGTCCACCTGCAATGGAACTTCTGAAGGAAACTTCTCTCATCATAATAATTTAATTTTTCAAAACAAGCCCAGACACAAACCTCTGAAGGGCTCACTCACACAGTATCTTGTGGGAAGCGATGGATGCGGTTTTGCCCGTGCTCCAAGTGAAGGGGGACAGGCAAACCCAAGTTGTTGAGCAAAAAGCCGAAGATTTAAATAAATACCTGACTCTCATTACATGCAGAGCAAGTTCACTTCTGCCTGTAAAGCACCACGTAACCTCAGAGAAGCCTCCACAATGACAAGGATCTTCTCAAAGCAACTTCAATAAATACAGTTGGGGTTTTATTTACTGGGGGAAGTGTTTGCTTTTCATCTTCCCCACATCCAAGCGGTCAACAAGTCTTACTCCAATGAACAAATAAATTAAAACACCTTAAGAGAGTGGAGAAATGACATGCTCAGTGGGTACTGCAGTCAGAAGTAACAGGTAACAGGCCAAACTAAGAGTTTGAGAGAGAGAATCAGATCATCGGGTTTAACCATACAGTAATGAGTCAAATTCTGGATAAACCATTTTTAAGTATTTTTTTTTCCCCCTTGAAACTTTCCACAAGAAAGCGTAAAGATGTGGCAAGTTTTCTGTACAAGGGGACAGCAATTATATTTTGTCTAGGATGAAAATAGGACACATTCCCAACTAAAGTGGCTCTGGATGTCTAGGCAGGAGATGGGGCAAAGGAATATGAAAAGGTGGATGCTCAGGAAGGCAGACACTGATCTCTCATAATTAAGACCTCCCCAGTGAGAACTGGAAGAAGTATAAAGGGTTCTCCATGGGAGAACGATGGCAAAAAATACTTACCTGCAAAATACTTCACTGGTAAAGACTAGATTAGCCTGCAAACGTGTACCAGACACACACATAGAAGGGGCATGTCCTCACCACACTGGCAAGACACCAGTCTCTTGCTTCCTCCAAATGCACTTTATTATTCTTTATGGACATTTCCTACCTGCTTTCAGCCTCTCTGACCTTCTACATGGACCACCACCAGCCTGCTCAAAGGTCAGCTGTAGGTGATTACAGGTTAACAAATTACATCTAACCAAAAGCATCCTTCATCCCGGGCCAGAAAGCCCTCTGTGCCTGCCCACTCCAGAGGGACACAGCACTCTCTTCTGGTTTAGACAGGGCTTCAGCAGCAACAATTAATAATTTACAACCCATCTATCCAGCACCAAGAGGCATTTCTCTTTGAAGGGCAGTTTATTTGCAACCCACGCGTGAGGGCAGTGCTGCTGAGCTGTTCGTCCTGGCCCTTCCCCTTCACACCTTTCATCAACTCCCTTGATTCCCAAAGCAACAATTGCATCAGCTTTCCAAAATTTCCCTGCGTTGGCCATGACTGCTCCCACTTCCATAAAGAGATGCCATCAGCAGGGCTGTTGCCAGCACCAAGAAGTTTTTGTAAACCTCCTCAGGGCTCAGCTTGGACCTGCAACAGAGGAGACCTACGCCGCAAGACTACGCTTTGCAAGGACTTGCAACCAGCTTAACTAGTGCCGTGCCAGACCAGACACTGCCCTGGTTTACTGGCCAAGGGGAGGTGACACGACAAAGAGGGAGGTATGAGCCATGTCTGGTGGGAATGTGGTGACGGAGCATGGTTGGCTTGCCAGCATGGGAATAGTCTGGGCTAAGAGAACCACACGGGTTAATGAGCCAGATTCAGCGCCGTCTCCATTGCATTTGGGCACACAAATGTAAGGAGAGGTGAGGCATCAAGCTAAGCACAGGCTTGACGTTTAGGTTCCATTCCCAGGTCCCTGTGAATTGGAGGACTTCATCGTCAAAGGCTTCCTTCCTCCTGGCTTGTTGATTTAGGCTGCAGGGGCTTTGGGACAGGACCACCTCTGCCTTCAGCTCAGCTTCAGGACAGGCGTGAGGAGGGCAGATGCTTCCCAGCTGGCACATACACCCTGCAGCAGTGCCTAAAGGAGCCAGCAGGTATTTGCCATCACCTCAGCAGCTGCTTAGATACTATCGATGAACACACGCCATGAGCAAGTATTGGAGGTGCCACGGTCTGGTCCTTCATTGCATGTAGCCCTGAGCTGACAAGGGTGATAGGGATCTAAAAGGACTTTGTTTTGAAGAAAAGAGGCAAAAGTAAGCAAAGTGTTACTATCCCAGCAACCCAATGAGAGGGCAGTTCCTGGGGGGGTGAGAAGCACCTGCATCTTGTGCCATGCAACACAACCAGGCAAGGACATGGCAGCCGTGGGGACTCCTGCAGAAAGCAAATGTCCATCCCAAAGACGTGTGAAAAGCAGGGAGCCAGGGAAAGAGGGAAGGAGCTGGAACGAGCACCCCTAGAGCAGGGCTACTCCATCGATCTCACAACTCCCTCCCACCAAGGGGGAGCTCAGTAAGTCTCCCCCTCTGCCAACATGCCAAAAAAGGTCTCCTCTCACCAATGCCTTTGGACACAGTCACTTTGCCAGGAAGGGTCTAGAAAAACGAAACAAAAACTGGTATTCCACCCACGCTGCCACACAGCTCCAGACAAGGAGCCTGAGGCAGGTCAGCAGCTTGGCAGGGAGGCTGCTGGCACAACCCAAGCTCTGCTCTTTGATGGCCAACAGCGTGTTCAAGAGGGCTTCCAGCTGGGTATCCCCTGTGGTTCATCCACTGCTGCAGGAAGACCCTTTTCGGGAAGGTAATCAAGACAAGGACAGGACTCCATCTCTACTACTTCTTCCTCCTGTGTGCACCAGAAGAACTAGTGCTACAAATTAGTGTGACGTTACCAGCATGTTCACAGCATCAAATGGAGCCTCCTGATGGGAAATCCAGACCTTGCCACCAGCGTGGGAAGGAGATGGCAATTTGGAGGCAGCAGGCTCAGGAGAACTGGGAGAAGTCACCTCTCATGATGACACCAAAGCATCTGCTTTTTTAACAGAGTCATGAAACACTAGAAGATTTTCCTTCAATTTTTAAATTTTTTTTTGCCTAGGTCTCTAACTTCTCAGACCACATCAGATCAGCCTCTGTACCAAGAAGGTGAGAGGACTATTGCCATCACTCCTTCAGACTGCAGTAAGACCTCCTCTTTGGCCCAGGGTTTACTCAATGCTCCCATGCCCAAGTCCTAAGAGGGTTAAGAAACTGACCTATGTAAAGCCAGGTTTTAAAGGTCCTCCCGGGGACAGAAAGGATTGACAGGCCCCATGAAGATCCCTGTGGTAGTCCATCTTTTTTTATGTTATTTTTAAACTTTTACGGTACTTTGGGACAAGGGGAGGATTGGTGCATGAAACCAAAGTAAGGGCAGAATGAATAAAGACCATTTTTTTCTTCATTCAGGTTGATGCTTTGGATCTGTCTTCCTTCTACTTTACATTAAAAAACACCAATTTTTATAACCTTTTTCTGGACCTTGCTGGCCAAGAAACAGACTGTGTTTGTAAGAAATCCTCTCCCCTCACTGGCTTTCCCCCAGCAAACTGCACATACCTGATCGAGATAAATACAGTACCTTGCATACCTGCGGGACCAAAATCTTGCCTGGTGAGGAATACAGCGTGGTCGTGGTACTCGGCGTGCTCCGGGTCGGAGCGCTGCTGCGAGTGAGCCCAGCGGCAGACCTGCTCCAAGCTCCGAGACGGGTTCCCTCGCTCTATCAGGCTGACTGACTGGGTAAAGAATTAAACAAAAGAAAAAAAGAAGTAAAAAGATGGATAAGTTAGTGGAGGAGAAGGAACCGGTCAAGAGTTTTGGGGCTGGAAAGACTCTGAAGCCGTGCTTCTCCATCATTAGAATCTAAACACCCTACTTTGCATCTGCAAAGCATCTTGCACCTTTTTTATTTTAAAACAGCTAGGAAATCATTCCCACAAATGGATGTGGTCTGGTACAGGAGAGTATATGACCCTCTTCGGTCACACAAGTGCTTGGGGCAGCAGCAGATAAAAGAGGAGAGCAGCTGGGACGTAAAGAGGATTCAGATTCCCTGCTGCTGCACGGGTTCCTTGTCAAGCCATCATGAGATGCTGATGCTCAACGATGAGCACAGCAACACTCCCCTGTAAAATGTGACCCACAGAGACCAAGACCCCAAGAGGAAACAGGTGGAGGTGCCCATGACTGTTCTATATATACCATGTCCTTCGTTTGGTTTTTTTTTGTTCAAGATTAGCATTTTGCAAAATTATGCTCTATAAAATAAATGATGCTCTATAAAACAAACAATGTTCTATAAAATAAATGATGTTCTATAAAATAAATGATGCTCTCGGGCACAGGTACCTCCTGAGCTGCAGTGGTGGGAAGAAAGGTAAGAAATACTGCCCTTCCCCTGGCCCTTAAGTGGAAGCCACGGAGGTTTTATCCTACGAAATGCAAGGTGGGAGACAAGAAGCTGCAGGAGGACTTGCTTCAGGAAGCATCAGACCTAATCAGTGGTGAGCTGAGATCTCACCTGGATTCAAACACCCGAGTCTCTAGGACCACTGGGTTTCTGCCAGACACGCAGGCTCCCATAACAAGCAGGTTTTTTTTCCAAGACCAAATGGGGCTTATTCGTGGACCACACACACAGCACTATGTTGAGTCATTAATATCCTTGCTAGAATGCTTGATGTAGGATAGGAGCCTGCCACAAAAAATATGGCAAATCACATTGTTTTAAAGAAAATCTCTGGCTGCCGTGCTCAGATGAGCCTTAAAAAATAAATGCAACCTGAGAAATCACACAAAACCTTCCCATGCTTTTTCTGTCCATACCCAAGACACCTGAGAGCTGCAGGACAGCCAGTGACCCCTTCCAGGGTTGCCAAGTCAAGGCTGGTACACAGGAGATCCTGGCCTCGGCTTCTCCTCACTGACATCCAGCTCCTACCAACGTGGGAAGCCACCTCTGTCCCACCATGTACTGCCACCCTAGAGCTTCTGAGGAAGCCTCTCATGGTTTTTCCAGCACCCTAGAGCAAGCAGATAAAGGCTGACGGCAGCCCACCCACCACCTCCCTCTTTGCCCTGGGGACTGCTATGGGGCTCTCCAGACCTTCAGGCTCCAGAAACCAGCCGGATGAGGGTTCAAATTTATCCATGCTCAGCACAGTTGTCACTTGGGCTTCAAAAGCTGACCTCAACAGCCACATGTTTCCAAGCCGGGGCGCACCTAAGTGCTAAATACTATGGTGATGAGACACTTAAGTCATGGTGTCACTGCACCCTTGCCAGACCCAGAAGAAGTGGCAGCTGCCTGCTGCGTCTGTATTGCATTTTGGCAGCCCTCCTTCCCTCATGGGGCAGAGCTCGAGCTGGGAAAGCAGCTGAAAAGCAGAGGCCAGCCTGAATGGCATCTCCTCGCCACATCCAAGCACTGTATTTACCTGGCGGTATCCCACCATGATCATCCTGACCAGCACGATATTGATGTGAACGCCCAGGGACTCGTCATGATAAATTTCATCCACCTGAAGAAGGGAGGGAAATAAATCAGAGCAGAGGTTAAGACCATCTCAGCTCTCAAGCCCCTCCTGTCCTCTACACGCCTACGTTCAGCATCCTACCCCGCACAAGACCAGGTGCAAAGATCTCATCTCCCTCCTCCCACCCCCAGTGTTTTTTTTAATTTTCCCCTGTGTAAAAACCATAAAGTCAAAAGCCAAACTGCAATAAGCCAGATTTCTCCAGGATGGGTGTCTCAGATAGTCAATGACATCACCTGACCCATCAAGAGAGCGGAGGAGGGCTGCCTTTCCCACAGGAGCTGCCTCCACTGCTGAGCATCTCACAATGAGCCATCGCCCCCTTTGGGATGTGAATTTCTCAGATGGAAGGAAATGCTTCGGGCTCCAGCATCATTGCATTTGGTGGAAGAAAAAATGGCTTTTTGGGGAGAGGCGAGCGATCACATCAAAGCAAGGGCATTACTCAGTTATACCAGTGAGTCAAATTTGACCTACCATTTCAGAAACCCCAGGAGAAGACAATACAACAAAAAGAACAGGGAGGGCTTGTGAGTCAATAAGATATCTATCAACATCACCCATTAAAAATCACTTTGCAAAGGAAATAATGAGCTATAGCTTTTTCCTTCTGCGTTTCTAGGATGAAGAAATAAATTCTACTCCTAAGTGTTACCAAGAGAAGAAGATATTCAGATGAGAAAGATGATTGCAAAGGAAATAATGAGCTATAGCTCTTTCCTTCTGCGTTTCTAGGATGAATAAATAAATTCTACTCCTAAGTTCTACCAAGAGAAGAAGACATTCAGATGAGAAAGGTCCCTGTGAGCTGAGCGTAGATACAGCTGGTCACCGAGAGAGGCACTGAGCCTTAAACCCATGCAAGTGCAGGAGATCAGCCTTCACCCACTGCAAAGCACGTGAAAAAATACAGCCCAGGAAAAAAACCTGACTTTTAGAGAATGGGACTTTCTTATTTCCCAAAAGTCTCCAAAATGAACACTGAAAAGTCAGACAACAGAAGTCGAGGAAGTTAAATTAAAACCATTTTTAATACTGATTAGAATTAATGTTTAAATTAAAATATACTTTTTCACCTTTGTCCAAGTGAGAAATAATTTGCCTCAGCTCTATCACAGCTTTCCAGACTAGATTAATATTATAAAACCAGATTTATGGAGCTTTTCTATTTTTTCCCCCATTCATTTCTTTTAATTTAAGCTTACTCTTGAAGTTCAGGGTTGAATCCCTTTAACTGCTGCCCAAATCCAAGTCAGCCATTTCCCAGTTTGCATGAGCGCTTTACGAGCCCCCTGATTTATAAGCTGTGTATCTGTTTGAAATAGTCACTCAGGCCATTTTTAGACCCAAATACCCAGCGTTAACACTGCCCCATGACAACTAATACTCCCATGGAGTGGTTCCAAGCTTTACAGAGAGATAACGCAGGTCCTGAGCCTGCCACATTTCAAATGCAGCAAAACTGACGCCCCTCCCAAAAAAATCAACAAACAAATTACCAGTCCATCCTCATTAAGTCATCCCTTTGGATGCACAGACTGTAAGCCCCGTGATGTCATTTCTTCATCAGCACGGAAAGGTAACACATCACAACCCCTCCTCAGCTCAGCCATGGTTGAGATGCTCATTTACCCTGCACCGGTAAAGGCATTTTGTAAGATTAATGAGAATATGCTGGTTTTCTTCTGATGCTAACTCCTTTTTTTTTGGGATGTACACAGATGGGAGGAAGGTCGTGCAGTGCTGCAGCTGGGCTCTGGCCTGCAAACATTACTCATACCTACAGTCCCACCAAAGCGTGAAGCATTCATCCCTCATCCCAGCAAGGAGCTGCAACACCCCAGGGAGGGTCACGCTCAGCCCCAGGCTTTGGGATGTAGGAAACTTTGGCATCCTGGAGAAAATGTTAGCAGATCTCAGAAGCCCCACGTCAGGAGTTTGGCCCTTTACAAAAATATTCCAAGCCTTAATACATGTCATCTGAGAGCAATATAAAACGGTGAGAAATAGGGGGAGAAAGGGAGAGATGAAAAATGTGCTATGGCCCTCAAGCGTTGGAGACCTGGACCTAGGGAATGGTTCAGGGGAACACGGGGGAAAACTACGGCCATGTCCTTCACTTTCACAAAATCACAGAATCAACTAGGTTGGAAAGGACCTTGAAGCTCCTCCAGTCCAACCGTTAAGCCAGCACTGACCATTCCCAACTCCCCCAGATCCCTCAGCGCTGGCTCAGCCCGACTCTTCAGCCCCTCCAGGGATGGGGACTCCCCCCCTGCCCTGGGCAGCCCATTCCAACGCCCAACAGCCCCTTCTGCACAGAAATCCTTCCTGACATCTAGTCTAAACCTGCCCTGGTGAAACTTGAGGCCATTCCCTTGTCCTATCGCTTTTTACGTTGTTAAAGAGACTCACCCCCCCTCTCTGCCCCCTCCTGGCAGGGAGTTGCAGAGGGCCAGGAGGTCTCCCCTCAGCCTCCTCCAGACCAAACCCCCCCAGTTCCCTCAGCCGCTCCCCAGCAGACCTGTGCTCCAGACCCTGCCCCAGCTCCGTTGCCTTTATGCATTTTCCTTCACCACCAGTACTTGTTGGGAGCTGGAGCACCACTACGCTGGACCGCTGCAGTCAGCACCTCAGCATCCCCCAGCAGCACTCTGCTGCTTGCTCCCCACTCCCAAGGACCCCTCAATCCACTGGGATGAACCGTGTTCCTGCTTTGCGGACCACTCTGCCTACCAGAGCTCCCAGCCAAAGCCACTGCCTGACCTTGCTGTGACTCAGAGCATCCAGGGCAGCAGCACAAACCTCTCCCTTCGCAGCTGCGCAGGATATTTGGCAGGATGCTCAGCAGACCCCACAGGCAGCGGGAAAGAATGTTCTGGGACAACGTGTCACATGGCAGCCACTCTTCAGAGAAGGGGACGGTCGCATCCAGGCAAGGAAGGAGCACGACCAGAGGAGCTGTTTGGGGCAAGAGCTTTGCTCCATGGCAGCTGACATACCAGGCAGCCCTCCTCTGAGCAATGTCTCTTGCCACCAGTGGTGCCTGCAAACAGTCCCCAGGTCTGAGGAGAGCTCCCTGCCCCAAACCATGCACGCCCAGGCAACATTAGCTCCCCTGGGAGAAAAAAAAAAATGGGAACAGCAATACTTTTCAGTCTTTAACAACTAAACTCATCGACACCCTTCCAGCACGTGCATCCTTCCTCAGCCCTGCTAGAGAAGCAGCTGTGGACAGCAGCAAGACCGCGAGCAGCTTAGAAACAGCTTATTAAAGGACTAAAATGCAAGAAGCTGTATTACTCCAAGATGACATTTAATCCCCTAAATCTTCCTTTTAAAGCAATGCTAAATCCCACTCTCATCCAGCTAGCAGGGACTAGGTACCCCTCCAGTCTCTGAACCAAAGGGTTAACCTTAAACCCCAGTCCCTGTTGTGTCTAGGGGAGGGCAGCATTTAGGCGGGGATCTGTACCTAACAGATACCAGCTCTGCAGTGACCTTTACAGTTAATTCAGAAAGCAGATGTGGAACCAGACTGCCCAAGGCTACGGACTTCCCTTAATAGCCAGATATAAATAATTGATCAAGGAAAAAAAAAATCAAAAGGGTTTGGTGCTTGCTGTCATGGCAGCTGCAACTCTGCAGTCCCCAAGTTTCTGGAGGGGATCATCAGCATCTCCCCCAGTGCTGTGGTGCCTGTGGAAGGAGAAGTGGGTATGGAGGTGGGGGAGCCAAGCATTACCTCCCCTAACCCCATCAGCTCAACCTGGAGCTGGTTCAGGCCACGAAGGGGATGGAAATAGGCCTGGAGAGCAGTTTGCAGGCCTGGCACAACTCCCCCTGCCCTCTGTGGATGCCATTAAGTGAGTCAGTGTCTTCAGAGAAAATCCCCCCAGAAAATACCTGCTCAGCAAAGGGTTTGGGTAAAGAGACCTGTCTCCCTGAAGATACATGGGATAAAGATCTTATCCTTCTCACCCACATGGTTAGATGCCCAGTCTGTTTAATACTGCCATCCCGCAAGAAATACTCTGCCACTTTATTTAAAAGGAGGGTGGATTTTTTCACCTAAAACAGACCAGCCCTTAAGGCTAGCTCTGCATTAAGGGCAAACCAGCAAGAATCACCAGCCTGCAGGACCCCCAGCAGGCAACTCCAAAGCCCCCAGCCAAGGGACGATGCTAATGTTTTAGAAAGAATGAAAGGAACGTTAAAACCCCATGCATCCTCTCCAAAACGCTCAATGAATTCACCAAGTGCATGCACACACACACACACACCCTCCTCAAACCCTTGCTGGCACTGGGAGCAAGACTGCCTACCTAAATCCTTGCAAGCCTCTGGCCAGCCCCGAATCTGCAGCCCAGACGCAAGATCTCGACAGCAAACCGCACTGGCAATGTCTAGACCTCGCCGTTCTTCAGGGAAGGAAAACAAAGAGAGAGACACGAAAAGAATTTGCCAAACCAGCAGAATAGCTGACATTTCAAAAGCCCAGAACGCTTACTCAGAACAGCCAAGTCATCTTTAAGCTCCTTTCTTTTACTCCCTCACTCAATTTTCAAGCTGGTGGTTTACCCCAAGCCTGTTTTCTGGGGCCGAGGGGCTAGGAACAGAGGCAGAAATCCTCCTGACTACATTATCAGGCTCGCTACACATATTTACATCCCCTGCAGGGATGTACACCACCGTCTGCAAGGGCAGACCTGTGTTACCCACATTTTCAATATAGAGGAATGGAGGAATGGGGAGGTTTGCTCTGCAGAGCAAGACTCTAGATTTTATCGCAGCTCTCTACGCAACAGGCTAAGTTGTCCCAAAAACATAGCAACAAACATGTGAGCCTACAGAGAGGGTGAGAAAAAAATGCGTGTATGCGTAGGACAGACATCAGACGTATTTTTTGTCATTATCAGTTAGCAACAAGATGGCTCAGGAACCACCAAAAAAAACCCCCACACCAGAAGGATGATAATTTGCCCATCATTTTAGACTGGTCCCCCTCCTGAAATGGCGTCAAGCTCAGCGAATCAGTGTCTTGAGGAATCCACACTTCAGCTTAGCTTTTCAGATAATCCCGGGTTAAAATTAAAGCCAGAGGTTTGATTTTCTTTTTTTTTTCCTGTAACTGTCTCCTCCATGGGGTCTCAGTAGCACTCTTTGTCACTCAGCCTTTGGGAACAATAATTTGGCCGATGTGCTGGAGAGGAGCTGGGCAAGTCCCAGCCTGGAGAGGGCTCTGAGTCACGGGGTTTCCCTAGTAACCTGAAACAATTGGAAAACACCAAGTACCTTTGCATCCTTAACCAGATCATGGGCAATATCCTACAAAACCCCAGCAAACCCATTGATACTAAGGAGAGGCTCTGTAGCTCAGCTTGTCTCCTCCGAGCAGCGCCAGCCCCAGCCTTGAGAGCATCAGGGGTGAGTGGTGGGAAGTTCCAAAGGAGAAAACCATGCCTGGGCTTTGAATGGCCAGCACAGGCCTGGGTTTAACTGGGCAATTCCCTCTCAGGGAGCCCAACTGAGTGACAAGAGGCTGAAAAGCAAAGCAGGACACAGAACATTTCCTCCTCTCCTCTTCCCTTTAGAGAGTGCTGGATGCCCTCCTGGTTCCCAGCCCTCCTCCCACCCTTCAGCCCTCACATGCAGCAGTCACTGTGTCTGGGGGATGCTAATTCTGCTTCAGTACCATTGCAATCCCCGCCACAGGCAGCAAGCAAGACAGGGGAACAGCTTCCTCCAGCCGCCACATCACCAAATACTCATCCCACGAGCCCAGCATTGGGGAGGGGGTCAGGTTTTGCTAGAGTGGCCACAGCGATGCTCGGCTCGGACTTATGAGATATGCTCAGATATCCCTTCTCCAGCGTGCACAGCAAGGGATGGCAAAGGATGCATTTCCCACCCGCTTCAACCTGACCCAAAAATCCTGGTGTAGCCTCTGAGCCAAGAAGGGAAAGGCAGGCTGAGAACACAGGCTGGGAGTTGGGAGCTAGTGGGGACGGCAGCCTGCAGGGAAGCTCTCCGGTGCACAAAAGGAGCAGTCATCCTCATGGCAGCTTCCCAGGATGGACACAGTGCTGTTTAATGAAAAGCCTGGCAACCACATTTCTGGCAACAAAGTAAGATGTGGGTTTTTTTTTTAAAAAAAAAAAAAAGTTCTCCATGACGAATCATTTATCACCGAGCTTCAGCCGACACCAGGTTCCTAATAAAAAGGTTTGTGTCTCAGGGAGAGCCCCAGGACCCTACCTACAGCAGCGCTGTGTTAAGCTGAGCCCACACAGCACTGGGAAGGTGTGTACATGTTCCACCACCCCCTCAGCACCCAACAGGGACCCCAAAAAGAAAAGCCCAGGAAAGTTTATTATCAACTTCCAAGCTTGATGCCTCTTTTTTTGGGATATCTCCTGACTGGAAAACTGGATGCTTGCCCAGCTGGCTCCACACAGCATCTCCCCGGCGTACTCTAGCCCAGCTCATTAAGTCCTTTCCTCGTTAGAGGGCTGGCCAAGCCTCTCCTCCTCGCCCTTGCCTCCAACTAATGGGATTAGTGTTCAGCTGTGTGGTCCTAGCATGCTCCTCCCCACCAACCCCCGGCACCCTCCTCTCCCTCTCCCTCTGCCATCCAGGCCAGAAAGCATTTTTTTTTTTCTGCTGAATCGGGTATTTTAAGGCAATCTGAGCCGGTAAGGAAACGAGGCGGCGCCAAGGGAAGAGGAGGCGGATGGAGGTCACAGCAAAGCTGGAAAGAAAACACACTAAAAACCAGAAAGAAAGAAGGGGAAGGGGGTGGGGGAAGAATGTATAGAAGGAAATAATACTTGGGGAAGTATTTGTTGCATGCATTATCCTGGGTTTTTTTCCCCCCTTTTATTGATGCTGCCTTTTTCCCCTCTTTATTTAATTCATTAAAGTCTCCAGCACTGCCTTTATTTGAATAGACAGCGGTCCTCCCTTCTCCCAGCACAGCATCCCGTGCATTCACTCCCTGAAAAGTCCTGCCCGCGGGGTATAAACCATGAAATGCGCCTGAAAACCAACCTTTTGATTAGAGCTGACAATCCCCCGGCACTCAAACCATCCGTCCCCCCAGATCGGAAAGAAAAAAAATGACATCATCTCCGACCCCCGTAACGTGGGAAGAGCCCCAGGTCAGAAGGGGAACCCTGTGGCTTCCCCCTTGCAGAAGGATTTAACAAGCAAAGGGGAGAAACTTTCAGAGAATGAATTTATGTGATGCTGAGAGCATTCCACCACAGACATCAGGATAACGCACCAGAGAATAAAACGTTGCAACGAAGGTGTTTGCTTCTTAAAACCAAAATCTCTATTTGGAAACTGGCCACATTACACCTGGTCTTTAATCCCACAAATCCTTACCCCTTATGTTATAATTTTCCCTTAATCACTGGCAATATGGCTCCGAGCCTGCCTGCCAGGGCAGAAATAATGCCCAAACAAACAAACAAGCAACCAGAAAGCAAAAGCATCTTTATAACTTGATTATTTCTGAGCTGGTTGCACCTTTCAAACACTTTCCATCACCATGCAAAAGAGTACTCAAATAAAAGTAAATAAATAGAGGCGAGGCTAAAGCATGGAAAACAAAACAAAAATGGGGCAGCCCACAAAAGAGAACTTTGAAGGCTGACCCTATTTGCAGACATTCAGGTGCTGGCAGAGCAAGCCTCCTGCAAGATGAATAGCTGAATAAATATTGATCCTTCCACATCTCAGGACTTGGGGAATATGTGCATTTTTATCTTAAAAAGGAAAGAAAAGCAGTGTAGGGAATCAGCACAGGCTGCCCCGCGCCACCGAATAAGGAGAGATGGCAGAAGCAGGGCTGCTGGAAAGCTGATGTAAACTCCTTCTCAAATACAACTGACTAATCTTCAAGGTGCACGGGTTTTCCAAGGAACATGATAAAACTTCTGAAAATCTATAAAAATCTTCCCCCCTGTCAACAAGTATTATTCAAAATACGTAACAGACATCATAATTACAAAATAAATAATAAATATCATCATTCCAAACGAAATAATTAACAACTATTCTCTTTCCTAGCATTTGCAGTGATTCCGGCCATGAGGAGGAGATGGTCTTAGCCAGGAGGAACAGAAGATGCTCTTGGACTCGGGTGACTGATAGTGATGGCAACCAACTGCCACTGGCCAGGGGAACGTCATGCTTTCCATCACTCCAACTGCCACAGCCAGATGTGTGAAGGAATAGCCCTTCCTGCAGCAATTTTCCCCCCCCCCCCAACCCCATTTTTTCCCAGGATAACAGATTTGCAGTGTCAAAAGAGCAGTAAACCAAGGGAGGGGTGGGAGCCGCAGACGCCCAAAGCCAAGTCTTACTATATTCATGAGGGTGAGGACATAGTTCTGGACATGCTCCTTCCCATGGAAGCGTACAACTGAGTCATCTACCGCCAGCAAGACCTCAATGTTGTAGTCATCCTTCCTGGCATGGCGCCTCTTGCGCTCCGCATCCCCCAGCCGCTCCGTCATCAGCTCCAGGGAGTTGGGGAGATCACCCACCCGCACGCCAGGCACTGAGCAAAGCACAGGAGGCAGGGAGAGAAACAGCCATTGAGGTCAACTGACACCATGGTGACACTCAAAAAAACCATAAATTAAGCAGGAAAAATAAATAGATATTGAACTCCAACCAGGTTGCTAATCCAGCTTGCTCTATGGTAGGGAAATGCCTCTGGATTGGCAGCACCAGCACTAAAAGACACATTTATATGATGATGGTCCTACACTGTCTGTTGGGTGCTGGTGGGACACCTGGGGAGGTGGAGAGGACACAGGCAAAGCTGGGCGTTGCTCCTGGAGAGCAGACAGCCATAGCCTGAGCATCCTTCATCTTTCATCCCATCCTTCACCGCATCTTTCACCCCATCACCCAGCAGTCCCTTCAAAGATCTCAACTGCAGTTCCATTAGTGATGCTGCAAAAGCAACAAGCACGCCCTGGAAAACTTTTAAACTTTCTTACAAATCAGGGAGCCGATTACGGCGCCACAATAGGTGAATAAATGCCAGAGAAGGCTAATGCCTCTGCATGTATAATAAATAGGTTCATAGAGTGCTTTTGCACCACGTTGACCCCAAGCTTGTAAACACTTCTGGGTGCGCTCAGCTTTGCATGGGTGGGAGGGGAAGTCAGCAGGTGATTTATGCACAGAGTGTAGCACACAGTGAAGTAATGCTATAAAAAAAAGGGCTATGTTTTCTCCTTCAAGGCAAAGAAGAAGAAAAACAAAAAGGACAAGGCACTGGGAAAGCAAAATTATGAAGTGAGTTATGAAGGCTGGGAAAAGGAAGGGCTTCTGTCTTCTGTTAAAAAGTCAAATCTACGCCACATCTCACAGCGTATAGGTGCTTAAAACAAGGCTGCAGCACCTACATCACCATGCTGCAGTCAGCAGCCACGTTGGACCAAGTCCAGCTCCTCATGACCCCTCTGCTTCCCATCGCAAGGCTGATGTGATCACCCATGGGCCTGATCACACCCATCTAGGAGATCCTTCCTCTTTGACGAAGAGGAAGAATAACTCATAATTAACTCATTCAATTTTAACCAAATTTGGAAGAATTTCAAAGCTCCCAGCGAAAGCCCAGCATTTTCTTTCCTTTTTTCTTGCTGATGACCCAACTGGCAGTTAAAGCCAGTCTAAAGCCACAGGGCAAGATGTATGAGCCAGAGAGCAAGCAGAGGGAGAAATCCTCCCCCCCCCAAGAAATAGTTATTATCAATTGCTGGGAAAGGCTCGATTCCAGCAGTCCCTACCTTCGGGGTGGAGGTCCTGGCGGGGCTCAGCACCGTCCTGCCGGATGGCCGACCGCCGGTACACCACGTGGGCCCGCCCGTGCTCCTCCGTCTCCTGCTGCCCTCTCTCCAGGGGCTCGATGAAGAACTCGTTGCTGTCTGTCCGAATCAAGCCAGCCTGGACTCCACAAGGAAAGAAAAGGGAAGAGAGAGGTGTGTTTTCATATACGTGTACGTACACACTCAATACACTCATTAAAGATCCACGCAGAGCATGATTCCAAATAAACAAGGTCTTGTTGCTACTCCATGACACTGGGATGGATCCATGACCCCGTTCACGTATGATAGCCCTTAATTTCTCCTGTAGATGGAAAAAAAAATTTAAAAGGGGGAAAAACCAACAACCCAAAAAAAAAACCTGGCCACAATTCAAGTCATGTCTTTATATGGTTAGGAAACTCCATTCCTTCTCATCAGCAACAAGTTTTTCTGCCTAACCCTGCGCATCGGGGGATGCAGGCTGCACGGGCTCCCACGCCACCTCGCCTCCCTGCATGCTCCCCATCCTCCTCCTCATCTCCACAGTGCTGGGGATGAAATCAGCCATTTCACCGACACTACTAACTGCAGTCACAGCAAGAAGGAAGGAAAAAGAAACCATCATCTTTGCCCCATGAAGTGCTTGGGAATTAACACAGGGGAATCCCTTTGGAGGAGAAGCTGGAAAGCGTTACAACTCCACCTCTCAAAGAAGATGAATGAGAGGGCAAACATGGTTGGAAATGTTGTCCTGGCTACTGACCTGCTCCTAATTAACACCAGGCTCCCACCAAATCCCCCTTACATCAGCCCGAGCGCTCGTACCCCACAGTGCCGGCTGGCTCGGACCTCAGGCAAGTAAAAGGATCACCAGGATTTGGCTTCCATCCCAGGGGCAGCCCCCCCCCACCCCAGCATTTTTCACAGCTCCCCTCCACCACGCACGCGCGTGCTCCTTCCTCCGGCGCTGCCCACTGCTGCCTGCTGTTGAATAGCTGCCTGGAAAACACAGGCAGAACATATGGATCTGCCTTCAACAGCATGTACCTGCTGGCGTCCTCATCAGGGCTGGGGTATTGGAACTGTTTTCATCAAATAAAATGAAAATATCTATATAGAGATATATATTTTGCACAGAGCAGAATGAAGACGTGAGCTGGGCTCTCTCTGTAAAGAGCCAGGCAAAGCTGGGGCTCTTCCAAGCCCGCCTGGGTCACTGGATCCCCTTTGCGTTCACGTACGGTTGCATTCATCATGGCATCAGCCAACCTGGCTCTGTTAGACTTCATCAAATTTCCTACTCCACTTGGGTTTTATTAGCTGCTTAACTCTTCTGGAAAGCAGGTTTTTGGCTGGTTTTGTTTTACCTCCTTCCCAAGGAATCTAAGTACGGGCAGTTGTGCTACAGTCAACTTGCCTGACACACGTATCTCAGGTCCTTCCCCCAGGAGACATTCAGGTCACCAGGGCAGGACTTCCCCAGCCAGGGCCTGTCCCACCACCCCCAGCCAAGGAGATGAAGGTCACAGCCAGGTTCAACCAAGAGTTTGGAGCACCAGGCAAGGTGGTGGCGATGAGGCAGAGCTCAAGCCAGGGAGTCAAGCCACAGGTCAGGTCCAGTGATGTTGGGCATGTCCAAGCCATTGCTCTTTACTATACAATAAGAGAAAGTGAGCGTCCACTGCTTAATGCAGAAATGAGTAGCTAGGAGGGCAGAACGCTGGGCATCTGACACAGGCATCACCCACTTGGATTTTATGCACAGGAATTACGCTGATGATTTCCCACCAACTAACGTGCTTCCAGATTGCACATCGCTACAAATTTGGGCTGGAGTGGCACTCCTGCTACCCGAAAGCACCCAGCACGGTACACCCAGCAGCCCCTGTCCCAGGAGGAGATCTGCCAAGACACCGCTACCCCCTCACAGCCCTGCCACGGGGCGTTTCACCCGGGACAAGGCACCCCAAAGCCAGTTTATGGGTTTAGAGCGAAAGCCAGGACTTGCTGAGTCAGGCAGCCGGAGGAAAGCCGTGCCGTCGCGCTGGGGCAAGGCTGGATTAAAATATGAAAGAGCCTGGTCCCGAGCCACAGCCCACTTGGGTTTGTGCTGCTGTACAGCTCGTGACTAATTATATATGGCTCAAGAAATAAAGCAGCCCTGACTCTCTCGCCCGTGCTTTCTCCCGAAGGCGGGATGCAACACGCTGCTGACTCCCGCAATGACCAACAGGCAAAACAGATACCGCAAGGAGTTGTGTGCACATCTGATCAGAGCAGCCTAATAAATGAAACAGAAACCACAGCAGTCACCTTGGCATTTACAAAAATTAAAAAAGCAAAAAACACCATTGCAAGAGGCATGCACGAACCTGCTCAGTCTTCAAAAGGAGCAGCTCGGGTTGTATTTCAGCATTTTGGGGAGGTTTTAACTGTAGGGAGGCAGCGAGAGAGGCCAGACACCACCCAAAAAGCCCCCGTAAGCTTTCCTTGGGCTCTTGCCAAGAGATCGATCCCACCCTCAATGACCAATTTGCCACATGCTTCCCATCCCCAATTTTATTTGGTTCAACAAATACTAAACCATATGAAACCTGGCAAGGTGAGACTACCATTAGATACTTCTAAAATGAGACGCTCTATGCAGCTCGCGGTGAAGGTAATTCCCAAACTAGAAAATGGCTCTTTTAAGACAATTCCACTGGAAAGAACGAAAAATACACTTTTTTTTTTTCTTTTAAGGAAAACACTAAACTCACTTCTGCCATTTTGCAGATGGTGAAGTCTCTTCTCCAGCTTTCCTGCATCTCCCCAGGCTATGGGAGAGATAAACTGGCCCCACAGCAACCTCCCTAAGGGGGACACCCCCTCACCCCCACCCCCCCCGCAC